CGAGTATTAATTTATAGAGGTTCCACTGTATTTACTTTATTCTCATCGTATTCTTGAAATCTTGGGTGCGGTTCCGCAAATAGCCGGGTCCTCTGGAAAATTAGGATTTTTCCTAAGTTCCTAAATTTACATAAAATCGACAGGGGTGAATTTCGGTTCCCACATAGTCCAAGTTAAGGAATTATCAAATAGGTATGTAAAATATTTTTTTTCTTAAATGTATATAAATTTTCAAATAGGTATGTAAAGTAATTTCTCTATAGCAACCCCCCAATAAAAAAACATATCCCAAACCCTTAAATACTAAACTCTAAATCTTAATCTCTAATTTCTGAATCCAAATATAAATCATAAATCAAAATATAAATCCTAAATTCAAATATTTTGTGATATAACACTGTACTATATAAAATAAAAAATAGAATAGACTAATTAAATGGTGTTAAAGTGAAATTATCAAATAACTAAATTAATAATCAAGAAAACATGTGGATGTGGTTAACGATTTTTGTATGAAATTTACACTTACGTGGATGTGGTTAACAAAGTGATAAAAATTGAGTTTTAAATGCTTAGTTTTTATCAATACACATAAACTAAGATTCATATCAATGATACAATAACAAAACATAACTCATGTTTATTCACTGTAAAATCATGTTTCTATTCTAAGTTCTGCAGAATAAAATATAAGAAAACAAATAGTAAAGATAATGTGTTCCATTTTACATATATGATTTGTTTTCCATTTTACGTGCACACGATCTATTCCATTTATATACACATTGCACCATTACATATAAAAGAGCATATATTCACCAGCCGACTCAAATCCAGGTTCGAACAATCTACTTGACAGCCTAAATCTTCCCTTTGTGACCTGAAACACACAAGCTAATAATAATTTGTTATGATCCAAATAAAAATTTAGTAAATGTGGAATAAAATGTATACTATAAAAAATGTAAAATAAAAACATGTAAGATATAATGGTATGCATATATAACCGACAAATTTAATGCATAAGTAAATCAATGAAAGCATACAAGAACAAGCACCCAATGTTCTAGTTATTACCAAACACTATTCTATTTACAAGAATCCAAGAGTCTATTCTATCTGCATGAATTCTTAAATCTATTTATTTACAAGTAGCTATAACAAAACACATACTAACCACCCATATGGAAATTAATGGATGAGTAAACCAATGGGAAACATACAAATACAAAGGCAAACACAAAATGTCTGAAAATAGAACAAAAACAACTATATTTTAGAAGAGACCAAAACTATTATGTATGAGTATACTCTGTTTTACAAAATACAGATGGAATAGAAAATTATTTTAGATTTTGAGATAAGAAGCACCCAACCATGACTTACAATAGTTGAAAGTATCTTCGCAAAACTTTGTTGTAAAATTGAAACGGAAAGAGTTCAGTCACCTCGCTACCGAACTGTTACGGGGTTGTCGCTAAGGATTTCAGAATTCGGGATGCTTCTCCATTTATCACCACCAGAGTCTTTACAAATGGTCTTCACCTCCACCAAACTACTCTGAAAACACAGTTGGAGGTCATATGGTGGCTAAAATCTGAGAATGAAACTATTCTCTTTTTACAAATACTAGAATATCATTTTTTCCAAGCTATCCACGGATTATGTACTTTAAATTTATAATTTATAAATATACGAATTATGTTATTATACTTTATTTATGTGTATAATTTTACCTTTTTAGTAGTTTTATTTATCTCACATATTATATTATATTATATATATATGTATCTTTCTAATATATTTTATTTTGTATTACACAATTTCTATATTGATTAGTAATTGTAGTTTTGTACGTTTGTTATATATTATTGTTTGTATTACGGCTGTTTGTCATAAAAAATAAAATAAAGAAACATAACACTAAATTTGGTATTAAAATTACACCAAATTTGATGTTTTAGTATCATTTTTTTGTCATCTCCAACTATGATATCAAATATTACACGAAAAAGTAATATTAAAATTATTTGATGTTTTAAGTTTGAATAATTTATATTTTCATTATTTGTAATTGATAAGTAATTATTTTATCACACTTACATATTATATTTGTTATTTTTTATAATTTTATATTGATAAAATTATTTAGATTTATATTTTGGTTTAACAATATTATACTGTTTATGTATTTATTTTATAAATTAATAAATATATTCAAAATTATATTACATAACTATTAATTATGTATTAATTATTGATTAAAATTTCTATGATATTTTATTTTTAAAAAAAATATAAAGTAAATGATAATAGTCATTTAGTGATTTCTTACTTAACAATAAAATTAAAAATATTGTAATGATGTAAAAATAATTTAAAAATACAAGTACAATATATTTATGTTTATATGTATATAAAATATATGGTGTGATGAGTAGTGTTACACTTAATTTGGTGTAACACTATTTACCTTAAACCAAATTTAGTGGGATAATATCATTTATGGTATTCCATTGGGGATGAGATTTGTGTTTTGTGTCCCATTTAGTCTAATAATGTTTTGTTCTTGGTTTTAGTAGTTTTTGTTCTCCTATGCACACTCTTATTCCTCAGTTTTATTTTACTAGATGCATAGTCCCCGCGCGAGGGTTGGATATGTTGTTGATGTGTTGTGTAGTTTTGTGTATGAGACTTTGCTGTTTTTTTAACATTTGTTTATCTGGATTATCTATAATGGTGATGAATGAAACATTATATGTCACACAACTTGATTAGTCTGATAAAAGAATAAACATCGAATTCATATGGGTTGATATTTTCATATTTTATCTTCGTAGTGATTTTATCGAGCATTCCCTTTATTAGTGATTTTATCGAGCATTACTGTTATTAGTGCTTTCATGTAAAAAAATAATTTAATGGAGACAAGACAAAAAAGGACATGTGTTTATTAGTGTAATTTTCTTTTTAAAATTATGTTATATATATATATATATATATATATATATTTTTAATTGCGATGTACATGAGATTTATGGCCGATCTGAATGGTTCGGGGTAAATATTTATTATTGAAAAATATGTTTTTATTTTATTTAATGATTATAACTGAATTGAAATGATATTGGAGGTTAGAACATGATAACATTTCTTATAAAAGTATCTAAGATGGTCTCATAAAGTTTCAAATCCTTAAGCCATTAACCAGCATAAAAAATCATTTTGAATCTCCCTAAGCTTTTAGGTATCCCGAAAAGCTCAAATTAAAAAAAACATTAAATGCAAGCACTACGTTTTGAACCCACACACTCGCGTTACCAACTTCTCGTCTCCAACTTACACCACTGGGTCATTTCATCACTCATCGATAACATTCAATCTTACAAAATGTTATACGTTTTTGTTTTTCCTAATAACACGCGCGGGGTCCGCAAACTTGCTGACGTGGACACGCTAAGGATCTTCAAAAGTGTACTATTATTATATAGATTTTTTATTTTTCTTTGATTAACTGTGTTCCATGTTTCCACTTTCAGATATTATATTCACAACTATATTTTGCACCCAAATTTTCTTTCTACACATTCGACCAAATCATTATTTCACAAGCTTATTTTTTATTCTACTAATCTAAAAGATTCTACATTGTGACGTGTTCTTTGAAAGGCACCTTAAATCTCGTTGATATTGAAAGGTGGAAACGTTGACTTATGTTTTCGTCCGTTTTTTACACTTTCACGCTCACAACGTTTTCATGCTCATCATCTTTTCCTGCTTTAAGATTTTTGTGAACTGAAACTATATGCAGTGTAAAGTGTAAGTCGTAACTTAATTGGTATCTTCATATATTTTGAATAACAACCTACTCTTAATTCTTTGAAACTTTGGTTCTTAAAAAGTTATCTGTATTAAAATTCCTTATGTCTTAATTAATTTATATTAATCCAGTATCAATCTTTTTGGTTATTTGAGAATGAAAGCAAACATTCTCAAATTTGTTTTTGAAGTAAAAATGATCAACTGTTCGTCTCCTTGGCTAAATCGTACATACAGTTAGTCAACCTATGATCCAACCAATCTTAAAAAATGGTCGTTTACTGACCATGCCTCGAATCTACACAAGGGTTCAATAAAAGTTGATTATTTCTACCTTATGAAAAACAAATAATAGTATACGTAAAAAAATACATCAAGCTCCTTGATACACTGAGTAGACAGTCTCTCTCTTGCTAAGTGTATCAGGGAGCTTTATGGGATTAACGGCGTTGCGGAGAATGTTTATTCTGCTGCACTTGCATTGTGAAACAACGCTAGTGTAAGAGATACATTCTTGTCGTTGAGAAGTGACATGCGTTTGGCTTGGCTTCAGTGAAATGTAATGATGTTTCTCCGTACTACCTAAAGAGGCGAAAGTGTACTTAACATCTCTAACAATCAATGTACATGAATTAGAAAAGTTTATCAACTTGATGAAAAGTTTAGGAGGGTTGAGATTTTTAACTGAACCATCTGAATCAAATCAAAAATTTTGGTTTGTTAGGTCGGTTTGGTGAGACGTATGGTTCGCTTTGGCAGATTTATAAAAAAAACTCCGGTTCAGTAAATGATTAGGTAGTTATTTTGTAAAAAAAATGGTTGACCAAATTTTGAATCAAACTAACCAAATTAACCAAAATTTTGAACCGAAATAACTTGTATTTAACCGTCTTTGCTGAAATTTTTATCCGAAATATAATTGAAACCAAAAACTTCAGTTAGTTTAAGAAAAAAAAATTAAAACCAAAGTATCCAAATACCGAACCAAATTTTTTTTACGGTACAGTTCAGGAAGATTTTAGTAGAACCGAACTATCCAAACCAACATGCTTTTCAGGGAATGACTGAATGAAAAGTTCATTTTCCAAAATAGCACAAACTCAACTCAAGTTCACAACATGTTTGCTTATAGGTTGGGCTAGGATCAAACAAAAACAAAGAAGAAACGGTAAAGCAACTCTCTAAGGAAGCAACCTCTTGACCTCCTCTTGCTCCTCCTCACCAATGCACTTAGCTTGATTGTATACAGACTCAAACGCTTGCATACACACACTTGAAAACCCAACCATTGCCTGAAACACATGAGGGAAACCCATCTGAAAATTATTCAAAGTCATGGCTCTAGTCACACTCACCGCCTTCTCATGCTTACTCTTCTCTTCTTCTGCTTTCACTTTCAAGAACTCAACCTTTGATCTCTTCTCAATCACAGGATTCTTCTTCCTGCTCTCAGGCACAGAGTATGGACTATACATACTCACCAACGCTCTCAGTGAAGCTGCTTTCTTCTCAAATTCCTTCAACATTGAGTCTGCTCTCTTCTTCTGCTTATGCTCCTCATCATGCTGGGCAACTATTCCATGAACTGCGGTTAAAAAGCTGTTGATCCCTTCAGATGCTACTTTATCATGGATCCTGTCGATAGCTAAATGCCACTCCTCACAGAAGCTGTACGTATATCTTTGACTCGTAGCTACTCCTGACAAGTGGATTCTTGCTGAACTGGAAGAGACTTAGCCTGAGCCAACCAGTGAGTGACTGTATGTAGTCACGCTGAGCCTTGACTAAGTTGAAGAAAGAGTGATGCCATTGTTGGATCTCGAGCTCAAGCTGGAAAGTTGATTGTCTGTGAAGCTCTGAAGTTGGTTCAGTGGAGGGAATGGTGTTGAGGTACTAAGCTGTTGAACTATATGAGTTTGAACTTGATGGCTCTCATACATGCTCCTCCACATACACATAAGCCTATTACACAAGAGACATTGTTTCACTTTTGTTCTTAATTTAAGAAGCAAATGGAATATTATAACTAACCCTTTAATGAGCTCCACAAGCTAGGGGTAGAGTTCAGTCTCTCTGAGCTTGATGATCTCGTAAGAGGCGCTTTGTATGGCTTGGGAAGACACAGTGAGCTGAGACTCTAACTTCTCAACGTCTTTCTTTGCCTTTTCGGTTTTGACATAGTCAGCTCTCTTCATCTCAAGCCTTCTTACTTGCTCCACTTTCTTCTCATGCTCCATCTTTATGCTCTCTGCATTCTGCAAACAACACAACACAACAAACAAACTCAACTCTTTGCATGCTTTGGCAAAATATATATTTGGTGTCAGAGTACTATCATTAAGAATCATTGTCAGAAATTAAGTGCACATGTACTCACTCCTGGACCCACCATATTCGAATCTTTATTTAATATTTTATACGTATTCAGATGAAAACTAAACTAAGAAACTTCAAGACTCAAAGCATTGGATTCAACTTAAATAGACAAAAAAATTAAAACTTTTACAAAGATTTAAACTTTGTTAAGATAATGAAGTGAAAAGGTTAAAAACATGATCAGTGTACATTACAACATTAGGTTTGCATCCGTGATAAAGTAGACATCTCACATACCGTCATGTGGCTATGTTCGAATCTTTGAGCTACATCATTGCCGTATCCTTTACCTGGCTAAAAGGAAACTCAAAAAAATATTAGTAACCAGTCTTAAGAGCCGTTTTCAATTGCTCGTAAGAATAGCCAAAATGGTAATAACTGCGACCTTATAGGGTAGACTCAGCTGGATTATTGTAAAATCGTCTGTGCTATTCTTCTCTAGAAACAAACAAAGCATAGAGATAAGATCAACTAGCTGCAATATTTTTTGTAAGGAGGTCCAAGAAGGGATCCAACTTCGAACCTAATAACTTAGCTGAGAGGATCTGAGTGACATCGAACGAATGCATCCATTATCTACAAAAGAGAGAGACTGGTGTCTATTCAAGGTCGTTAGTTTCATTTACAAAGAAGACGATGGATCTTGTTGTGTATTTTTTACCTGAGTGCATCCAAATACTTAATTTCAACACTTTCAGAGATGAACAATTATCAAAAGGTAGCCTAATGAACCGCCTGGCATATCTCTACAACAGGAAACTTCCTAAATCTGCAACTTTTCTGAAGTTTTAGCAGTGACCAACCTGAAACATAGAATATATGTGTTATTTTGACCTAAACATGAATACAGATTGGTGGGTATAGTGGGAGAAGGCATATATATTTACCTTCTTGACACTGTTTAATCAACCGCCTGCTGCTTCTTCTCCAAAGTTTTGTAATCCATCATAATAGATATTATGTCCACACCATCCTTTTTCTCTTTTCGAAGCTAACAAAGCCCTTCCAAGAACCACATGAGTCGTCAATATAATGGATCTGAATACAACACGATTGGGAGACTTGGTGGTGGAGACATGTGATTTTCTGTTGGGTTTCATCGCCATGGATTTCGCTTATAGATATGAGCTTGTCTGTTTTGAATGGAAGGAATTAAGATACAGTAGTTTATAAATTAGGAGATAGAGAAGGAGATACGACGAAGACATTAAGAGGGTATTAGAGAGCACGATTGATTGATAGAAGAGGATTCTCAATAAAGGAGATCTCAAGTCGAGGAACCGGAGAAGGCGAAAAGATAGGAGAGACCAGAGCAATTCAATCGAAGGAGAGAGAAGGGGTTCGATTTTAGTTTCAGCTTAGCTTAGGTGGAAAAAAAGAAGTATCTAACTGATTGATTTTTTTTTTGCAGATGTGGCATAACTTAGAAGCCTTCATATTTGCCTTTTAGTATTATTAGAGTAGATTAGATACCAAATATAAAGTTTGTTACAGATGCTGTGTGAATATTGAAATGCCACGAGTTACTTTGCAGGTTTTACCGGTTGCATTCAGGGGCAAAAGAGCATTATTATATAAAAGACACACCATATACTGATAATTTAGGGTAATTGGTCATGGATTGACCCAATTAAAAATAGCCTTCGCAGCAAATATAAGCTAGATTTGGAAATAACTACACACATGTGGTTCAAGTACATGTAGACCTACATGGTTTGTCACTAATTCACCTATTTTTTTGTCTCTATAGCATAACTCTAAAAATAACACATTTCTTGAGGCTTCACTGTTAGTCTTCTCTCTCGCCTCGGCTCAACCTCGAGTAAGCACATTGCAACTCTTTTCCATGCCCGTAACCAAACCAGGGCACAAGCAACTGTGTTTTTTATCTTTTCCATGAAGAAAAATTTGCTAGAGACATCAAAACAGCAGAGTATCTCAAACACTGGTGACCACATAATCCGACCTTCTTGGATACCCAATGGACCAACCACTTGTGGGATTATGCAGCAACCAACGACAGACAAGAATTCAGGCATTACAGAAACAACATTCCCGAGCTCAGGTTCCCCAACCAGAGGCTACATCACCTCTACAAGAAACCGACAAAGAGCCTTGTAAGAAGAGACACCAGTTTGCCATTGCACTATTTCAGACAAGGAATAACCTGTACTATCTCTCGCATTGGTCCCATACATTTTCAGATTTCGTCATTGTTAGGGTTATTACTATATTTTAAATTTATTACCATAAACAAATATCAACATTAAATGTAAAGTATGCATTATTACCATATTTAAAAAGTTTACTAAAAATAAAAATTAACATTAAATTTAATTATCCATGTCATATTTTGCCATAAACTATGTCATCAATTTTAGTATCCATGTGACATTTTTTGTGAAACTGATTATAGAAATGACATGTGACAAAATTACTTCGCAAATAATATATAGGGGATAGCTTGAAGATGTAAGATGTCCGCCCTGAAGTAGTCGCTGACGTAGTTGCTGAGGCAGACGTCGTGTTGAGTGGTGAAGACCATGTGGAGTCAAGATGCTGAGCTGGAGTCGTATAGACTTGGAGAGCAAGGGTGTATCTTAGAGAAAAGGCAAGAGGAATAAACTTGAGGAGCAAGTTTATGACTTAAAGAAAGAGGAATAAGTGCATTTCAAGAAAAGGAAAGTTGCACTTAATGTTATGGAAGATGTCCATATTGTGTTCCTTGGAGACTAGGGTTTCAGGAACGTGGAGAATAAGTATAAGACAGCAAGGGGGTCGTCTGTAGAGAGACAGAGACACGGAGGCTAATCTTATATATAGAGAGAGAAGCTCTTAAGGTGTTCTTGGGTCGTGCTGAAGCAGAGGCTGAAGTACTTGACGGCAGAGAGACATAAGTGAGTAGCTTAGGAATCTTTCAGTGACGTGTGTTAGGGTGTTAACACTATACGTGTAAAGCTGAATAAACAAGGTCTTGTAAAGATTGTTTAAAGAAGATTTGAATAAAGCTATTGGTGTTTTGTCTCTTGGTTTACCTTCTGTACTACCTTATTGTGGTGTCATCTTTGCACTTACAAGTGGTATCAGAGCGGGGCACCTAAGTTACCGGTGTAATCCTGAAGGTGAAGATGGACACGATTGTTACGA